TCAGCATGCTGACGTGCAAGCCTTCCTTCACTTCCTGCTGGAAGAAGTCGTGCACCTGCAGGAAGCCAGCCTCCTGGTCGGGGCTGTAGCTGGCCGCCGTGGTCACCTTCAGGGGCTCCCGGGACAGCGTGTACATGGACAGCTCGCCCATGGGGATGGCCCCGGTGATCTTCAGGCCCACCGGCGATGCGTCTCTGGAGGGCGAGGCCTCCGTGGACCGGGAGCTGGACCGGGAGCGCCGTCGCCGGTACCTGTAGCTGGGCATCCTGGCGTAGGGGGATGAGGACGGAGCCTTGAGGAACTCCCGTTTGGTCTTAAATCTCAACTCTTTGTTCTTCTCAATGTAAATGTTCACGGCCAGGACGCCCACGGTCTCGGCCACGATGAACGACAGGGCTCCGAAGTAAAAGGACCAGCCGTAGTTGTAATGGTTTTTTTTGTCTTCGTCGCGCTTGTCGCTGGGGTCGCCCGTGTTACTGGAAATGTAGACGATGATGCCTATGATGTTGCTGAGGCCTAAAGGGGAGCAGGAGGGGGGCGAGGGGAGAAAAGAGAGGCAGAGGTGAGACCCGCAGCCAGATGGGGCAGGCGGCGGCAGAGGGGCTGGTGGCCACTCCCTGCTTTAATGAGTGTGGCTTTATTCCGGTGGCCAGCTTGTCTAAGTAATCAATCTGGAGCGGGTAACGAAGTACGAAGTTCAGACAAGGTTTACAGTAAAACACAGGCTCTTAGCTCCTCAGTTCCCCTCCCGAAGGAGCCGTCGTCTTCCTTCTGATACCCAGCCTCTCTCTCTCTCAGACACGCACGCACACGCACACACTCACACACCCGGCATACACGCATATCTGTTTCTGCCTTTCCACAATACCCTTTGGCCCCTTGCCTTCTCACTTAACAGCCCATGGGCGAGGCGGTTCCACGTGAAGAGCTGTCTCTGCCTTTCCACCTGCATGTGGCAGCCACCTCATGGACACCTGGCCAGGACACTGCTGCGGACATTCAGGTGGCTTCCCGCCCTCTGCTACGACACAGGTGCCACGGACAGCCGTGTGTCTGTACCATTCCGCACGCACACGAGCGTAGCGGTGGGGTGAACTCGAAGCGAAACTGCTGCCTTCCCGAGTACATGCATTTACACACTTAAAAATAAGCTTCTATTTGGAGATACTTCTCGATTTATTGAAGAGTTGCAAAGAACATGCACCGAGCCCCCTTCCTACTTCCCCCCTGGTTTCCCCTGTGAACACCTGACACTGCCAGGGACACGTGTCGCAACCAGGAAACCCACTGGCACGTTCCTATTCACTACCCTCCAGACTTTTCCCAGCTTTCACTGGGATTTCCACTAATGTCCTTTTTCTCTGTTCTGGGATCCATCCAGGATACCGCATGACATTTAGTGTTTTAAATTCAGAGTCACCACCAAAGTGCCCTTCATAGAGGCACAAAATGTCTCAACAGCTTATAATTCGGATTATCAAACTTCCGGATCTTTGCCAACCTGGGGCGTGATACGTGGTCACCCTTCGTTGTGTTTGTTCGATTCTCTCTTATTATAAGTGAGGTTGAGCAGAGCCAAGCTGCCTGGGTTTGAACCCTGGTTCTACCAGCCGTCAGCTGTGAACGTTCGGGCAAAGTACTCACTTCCCTACGGCTCGGGATCCTCATGTACAAAATGGAAATACCAGCTGTACGCACTTCGCAGGGTACGAGGGGGGATTAGGTGAGCCAGTCCACACGAAGCGCTTACAACAGAGAGCGCGCTCCAGGCTCCGCTGGAGTCTGCTGTGTTTGGTTGTATCGTCAATGCACGGCCATGTCCTTTGTCCGTTTCCCTCCTTCACTGATCTCCGTGCGGATGGGTTCGAATATTTCCTGCTGGGGGACCAGAGATCCTGCCCCAAGGAAACCAGTTGTAGAGGCTGATCCCAAACACATGTTCTCCCTCCTAACACATTACACACAAACACACACAGACACACAAACACACAGACACACACATACATACAAACACACGTATACACACAAACACACACAGACACACACAGACACACACAAACACACACAGACACACAGACGTGCACAGATACACGTAGACAGACACACACAAACACAAAGACACACAGACATGCACAGATACACGGAGGCACGG